GGTGGGTGATGGGTATTGAGGAGGGCACCTTTTGGGATGAGCACTGGGTGTTGTATGGAAACCAATTTGACAATAAATTTCATATATTAAAAAAAATAATAAAATAAAAAAAACAAAAAAAAAACAATATAGGGTACTAAGCCTTCATTAGATGCTAGAAAAAGAGGGCAGAATGCTCATTTTATATGTAGTAGGTGACATTTAGTCAAATAGAATCACAATCAGGCATTGTGCCCAATGAGATGGTAAGAGTCAAGAAATAAAAATGGTCTGGGAAAAAATGCAAATCAAACATCTTAGATGAAAATGCTCTTTTCTAAACATAAGTTTTTAAAATAGGATATTTCTGGTAGAAAAGTGGAACCACAAGAAAAGAAGCCATCTCTTCATGGTGACTTGTTGATTAAAGAACACGAAGTACATTTTTTCTTTAATCTGACCAGGGAGCCAATGTTACAGCCTGGCTCAGGACTTCACATGCTCCCAATTTATGAAAAATCAGGTTCACTGAAAACCTTGAAGGAAACAAGGGTTTTCTGGTTCAAAGGTAATGTTATGTTATGAGCTACGGTGGTCTCATGTCATCTCTTTAGTTATCATTGAAATCCTAAAAGAGATAGTAAAAATTTTTTAAAATGTATACTCTATACCTTTAAAGCTTCAGAAATGCTCACTTTTGGAAGAGAAATAGGATTCACACTTAGGAATATAATTTCCTCATAATTGGGAACATTCTGAGTATTGTTTTCTGAGGTCATTTCACTCATTAGGAAAAAAAAATAGATCTTATGATCCTTCAGGGTATCGGCTGTCAATTAAAGCAAAACTTAATACGGAGTACAGAAAAATCTGAATTAACTGGAAGAGGGATCATACTGAACAATTATCTAAGTTACCCTCCTCACCACCAAATCTTTACCAAAATATCTAAGTATCTACCCAAAGAGTTGTGCTTCAGCTCCTTTTTATTCTGACTTCCGGTATAACCAAAGTCTAAGGAGTTGAAGAGAAACACAAGAAAAGATAAGCAAAGGGATTAGCTAATGCATTAACAGAATAATCCAAAAGCCTAAACAGTCTACACTTACTGTATCAGGTGGTATAATGGTAGTAACAATGTCTTAGCTACAAGAATGAGATTTAATTAGAACACCTTGTGTAGTTTTACTTTATAAAGTTACAATGATAGATTTCAAAATTATTTTTAGAAGTGTAAAAATAGGAAGCTTGGCAAATCACTTTGGTTCGACTCTAATATCCCTTACACTATAATTTATTGCTTAACCAGGAATACAATAAGATGTTTATGTTTATAATGATTTTATTTAAATAATTAGTAGAGATTGTTCAAAATGAAAATAAATCTGGAAATTTGCTTACAATCTCATATTTGAAAAAGGTAAAAATTCTGTGCAAACGCATGAAGGGAAAATTTACCATTTTCATTGAAAAAAATTCCATGGGGAAAGGCTAGCAATGCTTGAGAAACACCGATGTCTCTTGGGTAATGTTTTAAAATAAAATATTTTCATTCAAAGATTTTAAAAGAGAAAACATAAGCCAACTAATTCTGAAGAAATCAAATTCTCAGTTAGTACATTTTTTGATTTGGTTTTCAAATTTCATTCTGTGATATTACCAGCATGGACCACACCAATGATAAGTTAAATGCCCACAATGTATCATACCAGTAATTTTAATATTCTAATCATTTTATGAGATTGAGCCAAATGTTCTGTCCAGATAAAAGGAATTACCTTACAACTGACCGAGCCAGTGTGTTTGCCTACTTTAACCCAGATTTCTTCTGGGGCTGCAGAGAAAAAAAATATCTATCTGCATTGACTATTGAAGACAACACAGTGTACAAAGCACTATGTACTTTGGTTTCTAATGAGTTACCTAGTGATTCTCACTGTGACTCTTACTTGAAAATCTGCAGCGGACTGCTTGGAGGAAGAAACAAAAGCACAACTACCTATTTGTCTCCAGGATGCTGAGTAGGTGATTAGTGGCAGAGACTGTGAAACCAAAATCTGTATTTTCTCTATCCTTTTTGAAGTGAAATATTACTGTCTATCAATACAGTTTATACCTCTTGACCTTCCTTTCAATTCCAGTGTTCACTGAGTCAGCTTCTTTTGGTGTGGTAGATCTGAGGCCCTTTGTTGCAGTATGGGGTTTGCTGACAAGAGAGATTGTGACTTCTCAACCCCCAGAGCAATGGGCTGTGCCTCACAGGAAGGGAGATGAAAACCCCACTGCATTCCATGGGGACCAGAGCCTTTATCACTGGATGGTGGAATGCAGCAGCCTTGCTCTGCGCCCATGTACACCTGGGGTTCATTTCTCCGTGATGGCAGTTGCACTGACCCTATACAAAAGGAAAAAGGAATTTTAGGATTCACATCATTCACAATATCCAGCAAGAGAGGCCCTAATAATAGTGGTTGGAGAGTAGGCCTAAAAGATGAGGCACATAATGAATCCATTCTCAGACTACCTGGATCCAATGTTTTTAAAACTTAGTCTTGGTTGGATGAGACGATTCAAAGGCAATACTACCTGACATTCCATTTTAACTTTCTCTGTGCACTTCTCTCCCCATCTGGGAGACTTGAGAACAGAGGCCAGATTTTAAATGCACTTGCATGCCTATGCCCTAGCATGGCACTCGGCCCCTAGCACAGTGCTAACTTAACCTGCACCAACTGATGTTGGTTGAGGTCAATGAACATGGCTCCATGGATCCACCACCAGCACAGCCTGTATTTTAATGGTTTTTCCAGGAGCAGAGAAGGAATTGGCTCAGAGCCAGTCTCAATCTTTTATCTCATTCTCCACTCTATTTCCTTACTGCGGATCTCTTTGTGCACTTCCACCACATATATTTATGAGACAGCTGGACATGATTGGGGGGTGTGATCACTCATACTGGGAGACAGCTTTATGAATGGCCCACAGAGAATGGGTCAAACTGCAGTAGAGTGAGCAAAAAGGGAGATATTTTAATCTCTTCCTGTGTACTCAGCTAACCAAGTTCTTAGTTCTTTCTTGAGTTTAACCATACCTTGGTCAAATCATTGTGCTACTGATTAACTGGCAAAATTATACGTACCTTGACAGTGAATTACTTATGCCATAAAGAATTTGATGCTTTTACCTCCTCAAGAAAAAGTAATATGTAACTACAAGGTACTCCATTACTTTCTAATAATGTTAGTAATAACAACAAAACCCAAGTAACTTTTGAAAATGCTAAATGTGTTCATTACACAAGTAACAACACTAATAACAGCTTATATGAAAACTATATTTACTGTAATTTTAATATTCAATTCTTAAGTGTACCATAATATCCAAGGCTTCCCTCAAGGAAAAAAACTTCTACTGAATTTGGGTTACATGACAATACATGTATGAGACAGAAGTGTAGAGTGAGTTTTTCAAAACAAGAATCCCATGTTCTCTCCATATGGATATCTGAAGAGGAGAGTATGGTAACAAGCATATTTACAAAAAGCAAATGTCAAAAAATATAAGTAGAGTTGAAGCCCCTCTCAGCAGAGAAACTATTTATGTTGGCTCAAAGTTTCTTTGAACCTTTCTAACAGCGTATGATTCAAAACATGTTCAACTTTGTCCTCTGAATTATGAAATAAAACTGACATCTGAGACCCATGCCCAAGATGTCATAATGCAACCCTTGGCAACAGTATTATTTTAAAGGGTGTCTAACTCCATTTCCACGTGAAGCAGACTGAGTTCCAGAGAAGCCTGAGAACCTGGGTTGATTTTATGGCCCCTCTCCCAGTAGCCATGGACTTCACAGATGGCCAGGCATCTGGCTGAGGGCTAGCTCCTGAGAAGACTTGAACACTCCCAAATCGCCAGGAGGACCCCCAGATCAATTTGAATTCAGAAGAACCTTCCTAGTAGAACACAGAACACATTTTCTTGGAGCCATTTATAATTTCACCGGAACTACACCTACAGCTACCAATACAGATCCCAAACCCCGAGAATGACCTCAAAACCCAACTTAATTCAAGTAAGGAGTCACTCATTGTGTGCTTGCTCCAAGTGATCTAGCAGACTGGTATGTGACCAGAGTTTTGAGCAAACGTGCTAACCTCACATAAGATAGGAATCCAATCCAAACACATTTCTCTAAAGTTCTAGGGCATTCCAATACAGCCCAGCTGCTCGCATAGCTTATACAGCTTAACCATTGTTTCTGTGCTTCTTTGAGAGTTTCACATTAAGGAAAACATTCAGGATCCAAGTAAAGATAGCCATTCACCTGTCTCCCGAGAGGAAAACTGGCTAACATCTGCTGCCTCACTGTCCTTGAGGGCCATAGATTGACTTCCATTCCTGAGATTTTGGTGTTCCTTTATAACCACAAACTGCAGAGAATACAAGAGAGGGAAGGAGAGAGAGGACATTGCTATAATTCACAAATTATCTCAACATACATTAAACCAAAGTCTATGGCTTCATTATGTTCATCCTATGGAAAGTGAAAGTTGAAAGGCCCTGCCAAATTTATTGTTCTTGCTAATGGAAAATTCAGGAGCCATACTACTCTACTCATACATACTAGCCATTTAATAGAGAATACTCTATTAAAGCAACTAGGCACTACCAATGGCTTTACTGAAGAACCTATTCTAATTCTGGAATCCCAACTTTTGGGTCATGGATCCCAAGGATACCACTGTTTTACTTTAAGCAATCCAAGAATCCATAAGTGTTCTAACCATTGCCCAAGAGCCAAATAAGATCTCATATGTGTATGTGATCCAACTGTTCAAATATGTGTATGTGTTTACTTTATAAAATTCATTTAAACCTGCTACCAAGTTCTAAGGAATTTGGGGTCATTAATGGGTAATAATAACTAATAGTAGAACTACTATATTTCAGGGATCCACCAAATGCTTTTTCATAGTTGAAGAGCTTGGGAACAAGAATTCTAAAAGGCAGGCCCAGAAAAATCCAGCATTTCTCTTTGGTCAAAAAATTGATTATTTTGTCCTTATGGTATTATCCACAATTGACTGGGCACTTGCAATGCAGGCTAACCAGAGTTCACTGGCTCACATTCACACTAGATAGATTAGCTATTAAAATAGATCAATAAAAAAATAGATCAAGGGGTGTTTGTGTGGCTCAGCCGGTTGAGCATCCGACTTCGACTGAGGTCATGATCTCACAGCTTGTGAGTTTGAGCCCCACGTCAAGCTCTGTGCTGACAGCTCAGGGCCTGGAGCCTGCTTCAGATTCTGTGTCTCTCCTTCTTGCTTTCTGTCCCTCTCCTGCTCATGCTCGCTCTCTCTCTCTCAAAAATAAATAAACATTAAAAAAAAAGAATTGGTCACACACACACACACACACACACACACATAAAGATCGATGATAAAATTAAAGAAAATAAGTTATCTCATGCGGAGGACAAAGGATGTAATTTGCAAGTCCTTCCTCACCAGTGAGTAACCCAGCGGAGGGACTACCCCAAGATTTTAGCTGATCATGCTCTGCTGGCTCAGAAATGGGCTTTCTACAGAAACGAGCCCAGACTCAGAAATACAATGAGGAAAAGGGAACAAAAAAACCTCCCTGCTAATATTTCCCTTTGAGAAAAGTATAGGACGAATAATGACTAGGGAGAGAAATGTTGGTGAATCCCATGAACATGTGTTTTCATTTTCTTATTTTCCACAGTGCTAATTATCTTTCACTGCTTTCTCTTCATTAATGGTCTCTCTGTAGCAATATATTGCAAAAGCACTACATGACCCACTGTTTAAGGGCGCATACTCATTATTTCTGACTGAAGTCAAAATCCAGTCCTCTGCACTGCAAATTTTCCAGCCACATGTGTTTCTTCCAGAAGAACATAAGCCCTAGAATTCTGGGCTGAGCTGGGGAAGGCAGCTGATAGAACCAGATTCGGTTCTGCTGCTTCTCCTGCTAGTTCAGATGCTCAGCTCTCTCTCACTCCCACTAATATCTACAGCAGCAGTTGGTGTTGATGACAATTACGGCAGACAGGACGGCTAGGGGGACAGAGCTCAGCAGCCTGAGACCTCCTAGTATAGCTCTTAACCAACAAGTTGCTCCTAACAGTGGCAAGTGTTTTTGATTTTTTAAAAACTAGATAGAGATTGTTTCTCTCACTCTTCCATGATTTCAACAACATGAATTAAACTTGCTACCCAAAACCTGAATGAAATACCATCTAGACCAACAGAAGCAATAATGGTCATTTAGAAGTCTGCATAGTCATGAGGTCTCAAAGAACTGAGGACATTCTATAGGTAAGTCCACCCAGAAGCACACACTTATTAAATCTGGAGATACAGGGGCGCCTGGGTGGCGCAGTCGGTTAAGCGTCCGACTTCAGCCAGGTCACGATCTCGCGGTCCGTGAGTTCGAGCCCCGCGTCGGGCTCTGGGCTGATGGCTCAGAGCCTGGAGCCTGTTTCCGATTCTGTGTCTCCCTCTCTCTCTGCCCCTTGCCCGTTCATGCTCTGTCTCTCTCTGTCCCAAAAATAAATAAACGTTGAAAAAAAAATTTTTTTTAAATAAAAAAAAAAAAAATCTGGAGATACAGAAGTGGTCTCAGAGGCCACTGAATCCAAACGCCTCCGTGTCCTGAAGAGGAAACAGGAGTTAAATGACTTGCTGAACACTAGACAGCCAATTACTAGGAGGGTAAAGCTAGACTTCACATTGCTTACTTTGTTTGTGTACTCAAGTTTAAGCCAGAAAATAAGTATACACTGAATGCCTATAAGAAGCAGGGACAATGATCACCTGTTAGGTAAAATTGTGGCCATGAGAAAGCTATTCTCTGGGAAAGCACAGTGAAGTGAAGGTGGGGGACTGGGGAAATGGTGTGGGAATGGAGGCAACCTCCACCCTTCCGTAACATCTTCCTAATAATCTTTTCCCTATTCGCCCACAGGTTTCAATCCCACCCCCATGGATCTGCCACATATTCCAGCCTTATCTGCAATGTATACAACAAATATTGCCAGCAGTACACTAAACTAGTCAAGTTACTCTGACAGGTGTCTGGAAATGGAAATTCCAACAGTTTTAAGAGAGCTGAGCCTATCCCAAACTTGCCGTGTACTGTTCCAAGATCAACTGCTGAAGTGGGTGATTTATGAAGCATTTTGAACTTCCCAATCATTATGCTTTTAGGAAAATGTGTAGATTAAAAAAAAAAGAAAGAAAGAAAAGAAAATGTGTAGATTTGCCAGATAAAATATAGGACACCAAGTTAAATTTGAATTTAAATTTAACATTCAGTGTTAAGTATGAATTTAACTAGGTATCCTATATTTTTATTTGCTAAGTCTGGCAACAATTTTGCTGCTGAATTTTACAGATTTAAAAATGTATGTGAAGAAAAGAAATATTAAGAAAATTAGAGCATCAGCTGTATTTCAATAAATAAATAAATACATAAATAAATAAACATCTACAGTGAGAAACCAGAAGAAGAAAGAAGATTAAAAAAAAAAAAAGAAAGAAAATGAGAGCATAATCTTGGGTTTTTAAGACATCCATTTGAAAGAGATTACCTAAAAATTGGGAAAGACTTTTAACATCATCCATAAAAGTGTAAGTTATAGAAAGAAGGTACATGACAGAAAAAAATAATGAGAAAAAAATGAACTAGGATCCATATGAAGCCAATTTCTTGCTTCATGTCCTTCGGTCACATTACCCAAGGTTGGGGACAAGAGGCCATCCCGACCTCGCTGTCTGTAGGCCTACTAACTTCTCTGCTCGACTCTTCATAAGGATTCTTCAAATTTTTTGATGGTAGCTTCTTAGTTCTGCAATGAAGCCAAAGTGTGAGACAATTTCAAAACAAAACACAACCAGAGCCCTTTTAGTGATGGTCAGGGACAACCGCTTTTGCTACTGAAACATAGGTACTTACAATGTATGAGACAGAAGAAATATTAAGAAAGCTAGGAGCATAACTTGGGGTTTTTAAGGTATTCTTTTCTCTGGAACTTTCCAGATGATATTTCATTTTTTCCAAGGTTCTCTGAGATGTTGTGGGCCAGGGGGCAGGGAGCCATGCATTCATTCACTCATGTGCATATACTGACTACTAACTATATCCCAGGTACTACCCTAGTACTGGGGATAAAGAAGTGGAGAAACAACAGCAAAGTCTCTACCTTAATGGACTTACAATTTGGGCGGCAGGGAGTGTCTATGGAAATAATATCATGGCAACTATGACACAGACTATGTTAGCTCCATTTTATAAGTGAAGCCAGTGGGACTAGAAGATAGCAGTGACTCACGCAAGGCACACAGCTACCAAAGGCAACTTAGGAGTTGGGTCACAATGACACAAAACCTAGGCCTCTTCCATTGGCCTGGCGCCCTCTGCTGCTCAAAAGCATCAGATGCAAGGACACACAGTGGAGAACCCAAGAGGATACTATCCCATACTTGCCAAGCTAGGAAACAGAATAGGTCTCTCGCCTCCAAATCTAGCTTTATAAACACTTATTTGTTTGACAAACACGAAGCACAAACTCTATAGAAGGCATGGTGTCATGCACTGAGGGGAAGGGAAGTTAAGGGAGGGAGATCTAATATTAAGCTGCGATCCCTGTCTCCAAAGCAGTAGCCTCTAGAGGCAGAGAGATGGGTACATAATGTATTGAACAGCCATTTAACGCAAGGCAATGAAGGAAATGTTATGGCAAAGATCGCTAGCCAGCTCAAGATTCCGAAACAGTGCTGCTGTCTTGGGCAGGTGGCAGCTAAGTACCTCTAGGAGTGTGACCACCTATCAAATAGGCCTGCCTGGACATCTGATCAAGAGTAGTAAGGAAGGTAGGCACTCCTATGAAAACCATTCTAGAAACTGTGAGTTCAGTGTGACAGATGGTATTGGGTGGTGGTACGGGCTGTTACTGTTTTTAATCAAAGGCATCAAGGAAAATATTGAAGCAAGTGGATAATAGAAACAGTTCCAAGTTGCAAAGTAACAAAGTTATAGTTTGTGACAGAAGTCTTCCTGTTGATTTTCTTACAAGGGGGTCCTTCCAAGAAATCAAGCTTTATGAAGTAATATTACAACATTTAAAAAATTACTTAGTTCCACAAACAAACTTTTGAGAGATATACCAAAGAGTGTTAAGTGCTCAATCTAGACAAGACATGCAAGGGGTAATACAAAAGGAGGAAATAACTGATTATAACTCTTCAAAGAAAATCATTCAGGGGCACCAGGTGGCTCAGTCGGTTAAGCATCCAACTTAGGCTCAGGTCATGATCTCACAGTTTGTGAGTTCAAGCCCCATCTTGGGCTGGGTGCTTACATCTCAGACCCTGGAGCCTGCTTCGGATTATTCTGTGTCTCCCTCACTCTCTGTCCCTTCCCCTGCTTACACTCTGTCTCTCTCTCAAAAAATAAACAATATAAAAAAAAATCAAAGAAAATCATTCAACATGCCTAAGATCTGTACTTACTGGTATACTTTAGTGACATGACAATATTTAGACAAGCAGTTTTAATTTGATCTTCTCAGAATCAATACAGCAGAGTACAAATGCAGTCAAACACATAGCTGAAAATTTGGGTTATCAGTTCCACTGACCAGAACTATTAAGTAAGTAACCATAGATTTGCTCAGAAAGAACTTTGCAGCTCTGGATGCATTCCAGTAAAAAGTAAAAGAAGGCGTTCTGATGAGGTTTTTTTTTTTTTTTTTTTTTTT